AAATACTACCGCGCAACCTCAGGCTTGTCTAATTTAAACAAGACAAAAAAACATGTATAATAATATCACATTAGATTAAAATAACAACAATATATCACATAAAAAAAATTTTAATAAAATAAAATAAAATAAAATAAAATACGAAACCTTTTTTAAATAAATAAAATAAATAAAAAAAGGGAAGGAGAAAAAAAAGAAAAAAGGAAAAAAAAAAGCTTTTTTTAAAAAAGAAAATTTTAATTTTTTTTAAAAATAAAATAAAATAAAAAATAATAATAAAGAAGCGGATCCGGACCGGGTCGGGTCCGACCCGGGTCAACGGATCCGACCCGATCGTTGACCCGGGTCGGATCAGCTGAACCGGGTCGGTCGAAACCGACCCGGGTCGGGTCGGCTGAACCGGGTCAGCCGAATCCGTGGGAGGCATTGGCCGTAAGCCAAAAATGGCCTCTCGCCACGGGACCTGCACAGCCGCCCCAAATCGGCCTCCCGGGAGTAAAACCGAGCCTCTCCACCCACCGGGGTCACCGTCCGACCGCCGTTCGCCGGTCGACGACCAAAACAAAAACTGGTTTCATTGAGGACTTTTGTCGAGCAGATGGTGTGCACGATCGAAAACAACAAATTTCGACTGTTCCGGCGAACCGAAGGATTCGGGCGACCCAACTTACCTTCGGTGAGGACACACACGGACGGGGGGATGACGGTATGGGCCGGGATTCGCGCGAAACGGCCGGCGCGAGTCCCGGCCAAACCGAACAGAAAAAACAGAGCAAAACAGAGGCGGTTCGGGACCCGGGGAGAGCTCACCGTCGACGGCGCGTCTGGGGCTTTCCGGCTGATCGGGGGGCGACGGCGACGCGGCTGGGAACCTGCAATAACCAACTCTCCCCTCTTTTTCTCTCTATTTTCTCTCTTTCTCTCTCAATTTTTCTCTCTCTGTTTCTCTCTCAATTCGGCCGACCGGGGCTCTCTCTCTCTCTCTGGCTATTTATAGCCGGACGACGGACGATGGCTTCCCTCTCCGTGGCGTCCGCGTGACGATGGCCTGCACCGGCCTAGGCTCCGCGAATTCCGAGGCCATAGGCCGGTGCAGAGGGGGTGTCAGTTCCGGGATGCAGAGGAGAGAACAGAGAACCGGGAGAGAGGAGGGGATAAGGGCGAGCCGGGAAGACGGGGAGGACGGGACTGGCAATTAATGCCAGTCCCGTCGGCGTGCTCATCCGGCCCTGCTCTGGCCGGATAGCGACGCCGAGGAGCAGCGCCGCCGTACGTCACGCTGCCGTCGAGCACAGAGGCGAACAGGGGCGGCGAGAGCGACGGGGGAAGAAGGAAGGAGGAGGGCCGGGCCAGGCCAGGCCCAGCTGGCGCGGAAGAAGAAGAAGAAAAAAAAAGAAAGAAGAGAATGGGCTGGACCGCGCGGGGAGGAAGAAAAGAAAAAGAAAAGGGAGCGGGCCGGGCCCGTGCGAAAGGGAAAAAAAAGAAAAGGAAAAGGGGCCGGGCCCGGGGGGAAAAAGGGAAAAAAAGAAATGGGCCGGGTCGGCCCAGCTCCAACCCGGCCCGACTCGATTTTTTTTTTTTTAAAAAATAAACTCTATAATAGACTCTATTAGTGCAAATGTACCTAATTTCTATATGCAATGCATTTAAATTGAAATATTTTTGTTTTAGGAATTAAAGAAAATTAATTTCTAAATTTTGTGCAATTAATTTTGGGCAAATTAAAAATAGGTGTCAACAAGCTCCCTCTTGGCGATCTCCTTGGATGAATGTATCAGCCTTCTGCTGATCGCTCCTAACACTAATTAGGAGATTAGATCTTTATTTTTTTTTCACAAGCGAGATTGAATTGGGGAATTCCATAGTAAGATTTGGGCGAAGAAGCTCTTAAAGCGAATTGGCAAATGTGAACAAAATCGATGGATAATTAAAGCAAAAACCTTGGACTTATGCTCGAAATCCAATTGAGTGTTATCGTGCATTTGTTTCGTGAAAAATAAATTATTTAAAAAATATTTTCTTAAAAATGACCTCTTACGTTGCTTAAAATTGAATTGAGAACTTTTTTTTATCATGAACGAAAATGTTTAGGTATAGATTATTATTACTAATGAAAATATTTTGTGTCGACTAATTTTCTTAATTATTATAAACAACAATTTCAATAATGGAATCAAATCGTGTTGTTTCCATGAAAAGAATCCACCCGTAACATTTTAGTCTGCATAATCAAAATTGAATCCTGATATCAACAACATCCTATATCGGCAGATGCTCGATCAAGTCCTCCCGTACAAAATCGACAACATCCTACATGTGACAGACTGCCACACGGCACTGTTACTGTTTTTCATGAAATTTAACTGACAAAGCTAATAGATCAGACTTAACATTGAATATTTCCTAAATTGATTGAAGATTTAATTAGACAAATGGAGAGCTCTATTACCATCTTTGGAGATAATTATCTCCAAAACATCCATAATCTTTTTTGTCGGGAGAAAAACATTAGAAATGCTAAAAGTTGTGTGGAGTGCTTACTTTAGTGTCAAAAGTTTTTTTTTATCACTTAAGTGCCAAATCGGGGAAAAAAACGATCGCTTAAGAGACAAATCGGAGAAAAATCACTTAAGTGCCAATTTCGGTCAAATTGATTACGTGGCATTTATAATAAAAAAATTTAATATGACTTGGCATATTTTATTAAAAAATCCAATCCACGTGGATGTCAAAAACGACATCGCACAATCCGACTAGCATTGAAGTGATCTTTTTTAATAATGACTGGCACTGAAATGATCATTTTAAACAAAATTTGGCACTCCAATGATTTCTATTTACAACTTTTACACGATATCGTTTAGGAGTTATATACTTATTAGGCACGCCGACGAGTTATGTAAAATTGAGAAATTAAGAAAATAAGATAACGCCGAATTTTCAGCGACCCAAATCGGAGATGATACTTCAATAATCATTTTTTAAAGAAAGTGACAATTAAATGATTTGAAAAAAAAATTTGGCACCAAAGCGAACGCCGGATAAATTTTTTTTTTTGAACACTTTTAATACCGTCCTTTCGCTTTTTGTCGCTTGCGCGAAGGGTCATCTCTGTCCAGCACTCCACGTCCTGTCATGTTCGTCTTTATCTCCTTGGGAATGGATGCCAGCCAGAAAGTACAGTTGGAAAATTCAGGGGTCGCGTTAGCTCTTCGGTCAGCACTTAGCGTCGGCTATTAGCTCAGCTCTTTGGCGATATTATTTGCATCATGATAGTGGCCATATCGAGAAAGTTCCGACTTCCCATGAATTGATGTTTTCATGCATCTTTAGGACAGTCGGATTGCATCATTACCTGATCGGTATACTTACACTATCATTCTGTTGATAAAAGATAACTATTTCTGCATACGCCCGATGGCATGTCTAGCACTTTATACGAAAAAGTTCCGAGTTTTACTTAGAGAATCAATTTATCCCCCTCTTGGTTGTTTCTTGTTTGTGACCAATCGATCTATTCATCGATTGGCATCAACGACGAATGCCTAAGAATTGAGGCATTTCATACTTCGGAGTAAAAGGTACAATAGATGGCAATACAGGAGCTTATTTTAGTGATGGAACACTATTCATACTCCTACGTTCAAAGGAACTAACTATACCTATTGAAAATGCAAGATGAAAGTGCTCGTTTAATCCACAGAGCATGCGTTATGGAAGGGAGCCCTCTCACCTGTATTTTTTCCTTCTTTTTAAAAGACTTTTAGTTTTCTCAATTTTTAATCTAATTAAATTAGATTTTAGATTAAAATTATGTTTGGACGAAAATGCTCTTGACCGATCAAAATATCTAGTAGGCTGGCACAGTCGAGCCCTTATTTAAAATGACCGTGGTCGCTTTATGCATTTATTTGAAATTATTGTGATAACTTCTGATTTTTATTTTAAAAATAATGATACTCTATGTCTATATTTAAAATTTTTCCTTTTCTTTATGAATTAAATAATTAAATGTGATCCATTTAGATTGGCCCCACCCCCAAGAGACACTATTGCCTAATGCCAGGCTGTGTACGTGCATCTGGTCCAAATCCATCGTTGTTGGTTTTTATTTCACGAGACTGTCATGTAGAACCTCATGCGATAGAACTGTTTAAATGATCAAACCCGAATTTATATTAAGAAAATCCCCTAATTCTAGAATCTCCCAAAAGGAAAGGACAAAGGAAAGGACACGTAAGACCTAATCAACAGGCCTGGTCCCACAAAGGTAGGGACAAATTTCCTACTAGAAGCCAGACGCAACTTGGGGATTGTTTCTAGCGCCCCTTCGATAATGTTTCTTTTTCTTTATTTTTTTGTTATTTTGATCTCCGAAATAGAAAAATAAAATAAAATTTTATTTGTAAAAAGGAAAATGATCAGGGAATAAATTTAGAAAGGAACAAGAAATAAAAAAAATTTACTATTTTATTTTTGGGAAAAATTTCTAAAACAAGGTCATTTTCTTTTTCTATTTTTTTCTTCTTCCTTCTACTTCATCTTCTAGCCAATCGCCGAGCCTCGACGATGGCTGGCGAGGTCGACCTCACAGGCCCTCATCTCTGGCCGATCTCCGACCATTGCCGAGGCCCTACGATCGGCTAGAGGAGGAAGAAAAAAGAAGGAAAAAAAAGAAAAAAGAAATTTTTTTAAAAAAATCTCAGAAAATAATTAAAAATTTTAAAAAAAAATTAAGGTTGTAATAAACACTTTTTTATTCATTTTTTATTTCGAGAATGAAAATTTTGTGAAGTTACTAAACTCATTCTTTTGCTCAGAAACTCGTCGTACGAAATAAAAATAGAAAAAGTTATTTCCGAATAAAATTGTTTTCGGATCAGAAATGTTACCGTACGCAACCGTCTCTAGACCAAGAGAAAGAAATTATATACATTGACTCGAGCGTCAACGTCTACTCCTTGGTCTTGCTTCTTCCGATTTTGCCTATTTAAAAGCGATTCACTCACTCGTAAGACGCACCCTTCTAATTCTACGCAAATCATGGCGGAGCCCCATTATTCCATAAAGGGGTTTCTCGAGTTCTTTTTGTCTAAACTCAGAGGGAAAGGTCAGCCAGGGAAAGATGAGCCAGGGAATGCGGAGACCCTGAAGTTCCAAGATTTCCACATCGTGGTGGCCGCCCTGATCGCCGCCGTGACCTTCCAAGCCTGTGTGAATCCCCCCGGCGGGGTCTGGCAGGAGGACAAGGAGATGAATGTGACGACGGGTCAGCTGGAACGCGAGGCGGGGCGGGCCGTTTACGCCTCGGACGAGACGGCCTTCTACGTGTTCCTAGCGTTCAACACGCTCGCCTTTTCCACATCGATGTATCTCCTAATCTACCTCACCCTGGGCTACCCTTTCTTCTTCGAGGTGGTCGTCGCGATGGCCTCGATGGGGATAACTTACGGGGCCTCGATCTTCGCGATCACGCCAAGCGCCTTCACGGCGGGCGAGTCGTTGTTGTCCATTGCAGCGGTTCCGGTTATCGTGAGGGTTGCCATTCTGATTTACCAGTACGTCATGTCGGAAAAAAAAAAAGCAAGAACGTCGGGTAGTCAAAAGTGATGATGCATCATGGTTTTTAGTGGATTAGCTCTTAATAATAGTGTGTTTTCGGTTGGCGTGTCAATTAGCAAAAGAGAGAGAGAAAGGCACAATGTTGCAGTTGTAGAAATCGCAAATGACTTTGGTCGTGATGGTCTGCGGAGTAGAATAAGCATGTCATTGGTGAAGCTCTTTCTCTCTATGTAAGTTTTAAATCTTGTAAGCACTTTGTGAGATAAATAAATCGTCTGTATGTAGACCGTTCGTGGATTGCTGTCTTCCGATTACAAATTATGAAAAAGAAATATGAATCACAACAACAATGACAGTGAGGGAGGGAGGGAGGGAGGGATTGGAATCTTGTTAATTTAAAGATTAAATGGACATCATCGCTCCGCCTATGTCCAAGAGAAGAATTGTGATGTCTCAAAAGTTCCACTTCTTTTAATTGGGGTGCATTTCTAGCATCTAAAAACTCGCGTATCGAAAGAGAGAGACCAAATCAAGTAATTCACAAATGAACACTCCCTCTTAAATGGTCATTGTTTTATGGTGTCGGTCAAATTATTCCTTTTGAGAACATGACACGACTAGAGCGGGTCGAGTTATTATAATAATTGCAAATTGACTTAAAACCCATCTTTTATTCCTTTTGAGAACATGACCCGCATTGTCGCTCAAATTATTCCTTTTAAGAACATGACTTGACTGGGGCAGGTTGAGTTATTGTAATAATTGCAAATTAACTTAAAACCCATCTTTAATTATATGAAAGTGATTGATTGTGAAATAAAGTAATTTCTACGCTCATAGTTATCAAAAACTCATTAAGATGATGCCATACCATCTCAAAAGTAACTTGAATGGTGTTGATTTGCAATCTTAAAACAAGATGTCCAAATCATAATAATTGAACTGTCCCCTAAGAGTAGGGCATTTATATTCATTGACATTCGTGTAGTGATGTTGAATGAAGAAAAATATCATCGGTGTCATATGTGAATAAGGGGTGTATAATGAGCACGAGGATTCGTACTAGGATTGATGTATTAGGTGGTTGTAAACTTATATTTTACAGAGAGATAATTCCTCAACCATATGCTTTTGGCACATGTGCCGACGACGTGAGAGTACAAATTTCGTGACACAAATATTGTTAACTTTGCTTCACGGTTTTCTAATTTTATCTAGATTGCACCTCCATCTTCTTATATTAGTTAGTGTTTTCAAAACCATTTCAAATCAACAGGTTCAATCGATTTAGTTACGTTAATTCGACTTCCTGTAAAGGTTTTTGGCGGATTTTGATTTGCTCAACTAGGTTTGATGGATATCATCCAACATCAGGTGGTCTTGTTCGATCTTCGGTACGACGCAAAAGATTTGTACGTGGATTACTTCTATTAGACTCATTCTCTTTCTAGCTACACCGGGCCGGAGTGTTAAGGCAACAGCTAGGACATGTTAACGTCATTACACACTTCTTGTCACCAAATGGTCATCCCACCCTCACATCAATTCTATCCCCTCTCCGTTCTCTCTCTACTCGTTCATTACAGAACCCCCAACTGCGACTGTCGCCCACTCGATGATTGCCGCCCAAATCTTCCCCTTGCGCCGCCCAAGTTTTCCTTTCGCGCGGCAAGTCGTCCTTCAGTCCTGGGCACACCCGTTGTCTCTCTCTCTCTCTCTCTCTCTCACTCCACCCAAAGTAGCATGGCGGAGCTCCACCCTCGTTGATAGATACGATCCGACTCCGTCAAGGATGACGGGGCCAAGATCAGTTGGCTCTGTCCTGTTAGGGTGAATTCCCTAAAAAACTCAAAACTTTAGGTTAAGTTTTAAATTTGTTCCGAATTTTTTTTTGTTAAAAAGAAACCCCAAGCTTTAGGTCCGGTCCCAAATCTACCCCAAATTTTGTTTTGTGTAAAAAAAAATCAGGAAATTCCAATTTATTTTCAAAAATATACCTTTGTGATTCGATCCCAACTTGACGTGGCACTTTTCCGTCGATAACAAATCCACATCAGCAAAGTAATTGAGTGATAGGAACAGGCCAACGTTGCATTTCCATTTCGATAACAAATCCAACCCAATAAACTTTTTTTGAAATTCTCCAAAAGAAAACCATTTTATGATATGAAAGTTAGGGACGATAACAAATCCACTCCAAAAAACTTTTTTTAATTAAAAAAAAACCTAATTTTTAGGTTCAATCCAAATTTGCTCCGAACTTTTCTTTTTCTTAAAAAAAGCCTCATTACTTTGTTGATGTGGATTTGTTATCGACATGGAAATGCCACGTCAAGTTGGGACTGGATCAGGAGGTATAATTTTTAAAATAAATTGAATTTTGGTCATTTTTTTACACAAAACAAAATTTGGGGCAGATTTGAGATTGGACCTAAAGTTTGGGATTTTTTTTAAGACAAAAAAAAGTTCGAGGCAGATTTTGGACTTAACCTAAAGTTGGGAATTTTTTAGGGAATTAGACCGTCCTTGTTGATTGTTTATGGCTAATCCATTCACCATCTTTTTGCGCTAATGATATCTCAACTCGAACTCTACCTTGACCCGATCAAGTTTTGGCAAGAACCTACCAGTCCTTTTGACTCTTCTACTCGATTGTCGCAACCCTCCCGAGGGTGATCCCAAAGGGAAGTTGACGGACTGTGAAGTGTAGTAAATGATGCCTCTCTCGAGATGGTGCCTACAGCCATCACATGGCCTCCCAAGTCTTACTGATTGAAATTTGATTTTCTCATTAAATTATCAAATTATGATTTGCTTTGAAGCTGCCACTAACCTAATGAGTCGGTTATGAGCTCGAGTTAGACGCGAAAGCCCATCTTACTCCTGCAAACTAGAGTTTCTTAAATTCAAGAACTTGATTATGCTAAATGATTTAACGCTTATCATTGATACATTTTCTCTTTTGTTAAAATGACATGCGATTTTGCCAATTTTATTTTCCTAAATCCTCTTAACATAAAAAGGTGATCATGCATGGATGAATCAAGCAATATTGAAGCAAAATCAAATAGTGTATGACGAAAATGGAGAACCCGAGTCGTATAGGGTAAAAATTAAACAAGCCCTCTTTATTAATCCCCGGAACATGACAGCTTTAAATCAAAAGTAAATGTGCACTAAATTAAAATACATATGAAATGCTTATATCTAAGTGCCGAACATCGCTAGATGGCTATATGAGTATAAATTAATAATGAACTATCTAAGTATGCATGCAAAAATCGCGTAGATACAAACTAGATGTAATCCTAATCTAATTTTTTGGCCTTTTTTCAAAGCCGAAATAAAGCTTAGGAAAACATGCTGATGCCAAAATTAACCAATTAATCTAGATGAACGTGAATTAATTAATAATTGCCCTATTTAAGATGCAAAATTACCAAGCATGCCTCTAACATATTTTTAATCCTTCGTTTTTACTATCTGAAATGCAAACTGCCTAGGTGATCATGAATGCCCTAGAAGCAACATGACAATAAAAGATACAATTCTTATGATTTTCCTCACTAATCCATATGAATTAGGCAAACTATATCCTACATGCATGTGTACAAAGTGGTGAAGATTTGATCTTTCTTAGAAAGATTGGATTTTTCACATGAGTGAAAGCATCGACCTCTGGTCGATGCTTTCGCCTATATTTGATGAGTCTACAAATAGATAATCAAAATTCTTCTAAGCAAAAGTAAAACTAACCGACATGCATAAAAATCAAAGCGAGGATAATCTGATGCTAAGGAACATGCGAGATACCACAAATTCAATGCAAATTGACAAAGGGACTTCTTTTAATAGCCAAACAGTAGTAGCCTTGGTCTTCTTTATTGATCGAGTCTTAATCGTGACCTCAACCGTGTGGAATGACCCTTTGCGATGCTTGTCCGACTCGGTCAGCCTTGTTCTCGATTCACACAATCTTGAATTCTTGTCGACCCTCATCCATGTTCCAAAATTGGCCGGCCATCTTCCATTAAATTTCGAGGTCCAATTAGTTTAGACAGTCCATCAATCCCGGAAAGGTTATCCACGTTGTCCAAACCAAGACAATTCCTACATTCTTGGATTAAGATAAACTCCCATATGTTTGGAACTTAAGACAAGCTCCAATAGTGTTGGAATTACGACAAGCTCCGATGATGTTGGAATTAAGACATGTTGGAATTCCCATTATATTGGAGTTCCCATGATCTTGAAATTCCCACAATCTTGGAGTAATGTCTAGTCTCACTGTATTGAAGCTCCAAGAAGGTTGGAAACTTGAATTAAAGCTCATTTTGCATGCTGGACCGCCTATAGGATTCATAGTCAGAGAGGCCACAATCAACCATTGGCTCAAATACCACTTGTTCGGACACTATAATAAAAGCTCGATACCTTTTCCTCGGGAAATCACAAAAATGGAGCCTAAGTCCAAACTCATTAACATATTCGGTTGAATCCACCTTCCCTCAAATTCTTAAGTCAATAAAAAAGAACCAATCACGATATAATAACTGTTTCACACTGCATTAATTCTTCATGTGGGACTTCTTTCGCTTAACATTCTCACATGTGCACATTAAGTCTTTAATTGGAATACCTTATGAGATTGATGGCATTTATCCTAGACTCTACATGGAATCATTCAAATATCAATTGATCCAAAACAGATTTATCAAGTGCCACCTAAAGACTCTGTGCTCGTGATGACAAAGAATGACGGAAGCATAATAATAATCTAATTCATACGTGTGTATAATGACAAGAACGAAATAAACATTTTAAAATAGTATAATGACAACACGTGTGTGTAAAGTGGAGTAAAATTTCTTAACTTTAAATTGAGAAAGTTATATTTTGGATACATTTTAACTGTAATTTGTGAAAAGTCATTGATTTCAACGTTAAACTCATTGTTTTTTCTTTTATTAATGAAAAAGAAAGATGGCAGGTTTAAGCGGGAAGACTTTTTCATTTATTTAGAAAAAAAAAGCACAGGACAACTAATAGAGTAATGATGCAAATCATATTTTGGAAAGGACAGATTAGCAATAAAACTAGTTTGATGTAACATTCGCGTGAAATAAATTTTGTTAATCTTAAGTTTTAATATTTTTATTTTAATGAAATTTAAATGTGACTTTTAAAAAATGTTCATACTTTTACAATGTATTTCGCAAAATGTTCATATATTCAACTGTAAAACTCAATGATTTTTTTTTTTGTAAAAAGGACTGGTGGGAGTTCATCGAAAATAAAGGAAATAAATTTTAAAGTGGTTTAATGTTAGAATGACATTATAGTTTATTGT